TCCTTGGCGTCATGTCATACTTGCCAGTGAGGTGCCACACACCTGTCTCGTGTGCTTAATTTCTTAGGGAAAATCAAAGACATGCAAAGAGGATGATTTTCTTGAATTTGTCTCGCATGATATGATGCAGTTAAAAGGAAGCAAACTTTAATTTTCAGGTGGGTGTGTTGTAGTTTGTTTTTGTTTTTTTTTTTTTTTTTTGTCTTGCTGATGGATCATGACTCGAGGCAGGGATTTGTATGTGGTGGTGTATAGTGTCTGGATGTAGAAATATTCTGAAAAATCTTAGTTTGCTGCATTTGTGATATTAACAGCGTGTTGAGGAAGATCTTAGAATGTCTGTTTTGTGGTTACATTGATAAGTAGCACTCATTCCTTCATTGTTGTCATTCAGAAGGGTTTGGGTTTTGTTTTATTGACAACTAGCAAAACCAGTCCATCTGGGAAGTGAAATCTTAGTTTTAGAACTCCCCAAAATCAAATGTTGAAAGGGATTGTAAAAATGGTCCAAGAGTTTTCAACAAAACTGCTTTTCTTGGGTATTAAGAATTCTAATGTTTTTGATTTTTAGTTAGTGTTTACACCTGTCCATTCCTCTTACCCAATGACTCCGCATGGCTAAGAGAGCAAGAGTGGAGTTCTATTTTAGATTGGGAATCCGCAACAAGATGATTTAGGAAGGATGTATACGTACAAGTGAATTAATTGCTTAATTACTCTGCCTCCACTGTGATGAGGTACCTCTTTTTGCTGTGCGTGCTGGTAGAAGGGTAAGCTAATTTTGTTTAGTTTATCTCAAAATAAAAGTCTGCCAAACTGAGCTGAACTGATGTGCAGTTAGTATGGGCTAAGAGTGTGCATATGGACAGTTGGAAGTCAGCTGAGCTGTAGGGGTGATATGTAAGAGGGGGCAATTAAAACCAATATTTGAGCCCTGAATTCTAGGTGCCCTCTCCTCAACTTCATCTGCACAGCGCAGGGTTGAACGCACCACCACCACATTGTTGGTCAGGTTCTTATTGTAGCTTGGAAGACAACTTAGGTCTTAGAAAGGTCACGCAGAGTTTGCAGTGCTGATAGATGAGAAATACTAACTCTTTATTTCTGTGATGAAAAGATTTTTATGCGTATTTCACTTAACTGTGAACAGAACCTCAGACTGTCACTTCTGCAAAACTTTTTCTCAGAGTAAGTCTACTTTGCAGCAGAACTGTTGACATGAGTTTCAGTGGCAGGTTTATGGCAGTATGAACCCTCCTGTGATTTCAGAAGTGACAAGCTCATGCCCTGCACTCCTCAAGCTTACCTGGCATAAGCGTATATCCTTCCCATTTGCTAGGGAATGTGTTAAAGTGTTGTCTCATTTTTATCTTAAGAAGTAACTGCAAGAGGTAATGGAAGAGAAGGCAAAATGACGCTTCTGAAGAGCAGAACTGTATTTTTTAAATTTTTTTAGCACTCCAGATGCAAAGTGGGTGAAATTCAGTATTAACACAGCATGCTGTGAGCAAGGGAATAAATTTTGTCTTGTTCCAGAGAGAATCAATCTGGCCATGAGAGCACTGTGGATCAATAGAAACTGCTGCTTCCCCTCTGCAGGCAAAGAAATCTCTAAAATGCCTTCTTGTGATCCTTGCAGTCCTCCAGACTGGTCCATTTTGTGTAGACATACTGCATGTAATGCTTCGTAAGTGTGGAATTTTTCAGCATTGAATTTGGGAAGAGAGAATTGGCCTTGAATGTCTCTGTGATTTCTTTTATACTTTTTATTTCTTATATTCGTTGTTGTAAATTGGAAGAAAAGTCAGAGCATGGAAAATGTATGACCTGATTTTTTTTTTTTTATGTCTTGGGAGGAAAAAAAGTGTCTGTTTCTGTGCCTAGCCCCCTTTTTCTCGTATCACATAAAGGAAAAACAGGACTATATATCTTTGAAATCAGGAAAACTGATCTGTTTGCTGCTGCTATCTAACTGTATTATTAATGTTAAAAGGTTGGATTTTTTAAATGTAGCTTTATGTAAACTTTTTATATAACTGTGTGGTAGAGCAGAAGGAACATGATCACGTTTCAGGTCTTGTAAAAGTCTGAACTCATCTTGTGTGCTTGAATACAGAGCATAGCTTTGATTAGGATGAAAGATAAATTCCAGAAAGAAATGTAACTGTTTCCGTTTTTCCCCTCTGGTGAAATATATCTGATATGTGGCAGAATGAATAGCAATGCTCTGCATGCTAAAGTTGAATATTTGAAAAAATATGTGTATCAGAAAACAACCAAAAAAAGAAAGCAGGATGCCGGATCATGGTTTTTGTGGACTAGACGTGCTGTCTTGTATTTGTAATTAAAATCAATTTACAATACCATTTTGTAGGATGTTATCACTACTTTAAAAACACTCTTCTGTTAGATTTCTTGAACTAGGTAAAGCCAGAGTATAGGGCTTAGACCAACATGCAAGCGTTGCAAATGTTTCATTATATAGTCTTAATTTTAAATAGTTTCACAAGTAGTGCTTATTTGTACATGCAGTAGTAAGTTGGCACTTTGACGATTGAAAATTCATACTTGCCACCTTCTTTTCCTCTTACACTGCACTGTGTAACACCCGGAGTCAGTAGGGGTATAAGATGATGGTGGAGCCGGTAGGGTTTACGTATGTGTTTGTGGCTTTAGACAAAATATTTCAGCCATCTCAAACATAATTTTAAATACTAAGTATTTTTGTGCTCCCTTTTAAGGTAGCATGAGTGTTTCGTAATTTTGAATGTGGAATTCTCAAAACACCTTTGTGGGACATCACTATTGTCCTAATTTTACAAATAACTACTTTGTCTTGCTTCCCTAGGTGACTTGCTCAAGGTTACACAAGAATCTTCTGGTGGGACAGGGAATTATATCCAAATGCTTAAGACTTGAAATCTGATTTCTGGATCAACCTCTCCTAACAGAAATGAAAGACCTATAGCTTCCCTGTCATTCTACTGAAATTAATTAAATTATAAGTATTAATATTCTGATTTTGATCAATGCTTTTAATTCTGTTTACTGCTGCTTTTTCTTTTCAGGCATGTACTGGTATTGAAAATATTGATGAAGCTATAACGTTGCTTGAACAAAATAACTGGGATTTAGTGGTAAGTATTCTAAGAAAATGACTTCATGGATCAACTTCATGTAACAGTCATGTGCGATCTTGCTGAGACAGCTATTAGCTTTATTTCAAATTTAGATGTGTCTTTTGTGGCTGGGACAAGCAAGTTTCTGGTCTGTTAAAGCTTCATTGCCAAGTTAAGATTATATTGGGTTGCATATACCCTGGTATATTCTGATTGTCTTTGTGCCTTTTTGATTTGTTTCTTTTCTTTTAAATCAATGTTTCATATTGTGTTTAGTTTCCTTTTTGATTAATTGTGTGCATAATTTTGTAAGTAGTACTATTAAGGGTAGCGTTTTTAGAAAACATCTTGTGTGTACATGCAAGATTTTTGAGGATTTAGGTGCCTGTGGAAGAAATGGAAGGTAAAACAACTTCTTCAATCTTTCATATGCTTTACTTTAAAAATAAGGTAGTTCCTCTTCTATTGTTAGTTGCAATGCAGAATTGAGTTGGAGATTAAGGCCATGCCTTATTTAGATTTGGTGTTATCCAGACACAATTAAACAAAAATCCATCAAACAAACTCGTCTTAAAAAACCCCATTGTGTAGTTTGTTACAAGGTTCAATGTGCAGACAAGTAGGAGGAAACCGATAAAACAAGCAAAACAGTCTTAGGTATTTTAAGACTCTGCATAGGATTTTCAAGATAAAGATGCTATTAATCCATTTTCTTAAATTTAAAAGTGTAAAATAGAACAAACTTAATTAAAAAGCGAGTGATCTTCCTTTAAACTGTAATACCTTTGATTTCCACCTTTTTTTTTTTTTCTTTTCCAAATGAGTGATCTTTGGACCAGTCCAAATTATCAGAAAATTATTAAAAAAATAAATAAATTAGATTTTCCAAAACTGACTATGGATACAGTTTCAAGTGTCTGCCACATTGTGTTGCCAGCATATTGTTTCTCTCATAGAGAACATAGCGTGTTCTCTATGTTTTAATAACTATAAACTAAACATCACAGAGGTTAGGGTGGGATTTTAAACTGTTTGTTAGAATGAATATAGTGTTTCTTTTAAGGCATAATGATTAAAATGACATGCAATATTGTAACCTATTGTAAACAAATGCTACTGATGCCAAACACTTGAAACTAAATGTTTAAAATGAATGTTGGCCAAAGTATACGGAGTCTTTATTTTGCAGCATGTCATGGTATAAGCAAGGATGAGACACCAATGAGCAAAAGGGAGTGCATATTGTCAGTGTCTTTAAATAGAAAAACACAAATGTGTGTTGACAGAGTGGTATAGAAAAAAACATCTTTTGTCTAGTAGTTTGTTGTGACATAGCATGAGCTGTTTTGAAAAAGAAAGTGTTAATGGGAAGGCAAGGAATAGCCTTATGTGTTCTGTTCAGGTTATAGAGTTCTCAATACAATGCATTAAATCAGTTGGATATGGTTTTGGGGGATTTGTAAATTGTAAAGTATATGCTTTAAAACAAATGCTCACAGGTGGGGCTGAATGAGAGCATTGTGATGAAAAATGGTAAGAACAACTAAGGGGATTTGTTTTGATGTTTGTTTTTTTTTTAATTTTGAGATTCCAGAACGAGCAGAAAGGGAGAGTGAAGTTTTTAAAGCTATGAGAATGGCTCTGAGAATAGCTTTAAATAGTTGATTTTTTTCGTGATGATTAAGCGATCTACAAGTACAATATAGTGGGAATAGAAGTAATGACCCAAAAATGCAAGCTTAAAAAAGGCATATGGAAAGTAAGAAGGGAAAGAAAATTAGTGATGTAAGAGGTGCTTCAGGAAAGTACACAATTCTTCAAACTAAACAGAAGGTGGATGGGAGGAGTGTCTGTGAAAAGGAAATGGTAAGTTGTGGAGGAATAAAAATAAATTGGGGAGAGTAAAAGTGAAGAAGATGCCCTAAGAGTCTGTCATTGGTAGGACACTGGTTGCTTTTCATTAAAAGCAGCCTTCTTGTAAAAAAGGGGGCAAAAACCAAATCATGCTAATCTAACAGGGAATTAGAAGCAGAAGAGTGAAGAACGAGGAGAGGAGACAAAAGAAATGTGAATGTAAGAAGAAAACGAGTTGCTAGCTTGAGAGAGAATCAGACATCTCTCTGTTGGGCAAGAGATTTTAGCATTTCAGAAGTCAAAACAGTACATGAAAAAAGGCTTATGAGAAATGTAGCTTTTTTATTTTAAAATTAAAAGTGTATGATCTGTGTGTGGTGGGGGTGTTTTGTTTGTTTTGGGTTTCTTTTTTCTTTCTTTTTTTTTATACCTTTGATTCAGTAGTCAAGTACAGATTCATTGCCAAGAAATTGGGGAGGAGCGAAGGCTTTGTTGTGATTGAACCAAAGGGTCTTGGAGTTTTTTAGCTGAGATGAAAAATAAAAAAATCCTTCTGCTTGGCAGTAAATATTTCATTCAACACAGAACAAAACTTTTTTTTTTTATTTCTAAGGAAAACAAAATTCGTAGGACTTGATTTACAAATCATGAAAACAGTAGTGAAGTAATGATGATTTTGGTAAGGGTTCCTCTGTCATCCATGGGCCACCAGTCTGTTAGGTAAATGGGAAGAACATCATTGCTGGCCTCTCTAAATTCACTTAGTTTTGTGCATCTTATTCAGAGGCTTATTTCAAGTTCACGTTTTTGATAAACATGGCCTGTGTAGTAAAATATAGTTATATAGGTGTTCAGGGTTTTTTTTGGGGGTATTTGTGTTTTTGTTTTTTTTTTTTTTTAATGTATATTCCTTTACTTCCATGATTTTGCAAGTAAAATCAGAGCTCTGTATTTGATCAGGAAAGCTTCCATGAGGCACCCAGGGTAATATGAAATAGGAATACTTTCTTGCTCTTCATTCAGGCTGTCTGTATCTCAATTCCATTTTCCTTTTTGGGGAAAAAAGTTGTGCACTATCAGAGGCTGTGCTGGGGACCCAGGTTGAAGATTCCCTTGAGCACCTGTTACTTCTTGAACTCTGTGAGACTCAACTCAAGGGTGTTGTTATTTCTCTGGGACTTCAGCCAAAGTAACTAAGAGCAAGTAGTCCTGGTGAGCTGAAAAGCAGAAGGATCCCAAAACAGAAACAGTGAAGCCCTTACTGACATAGGCTGAGAGAAAAGTACATCAGAATGCACAGAGGCAGCAGAGGTTATATAGTTCATGAAATGGTTTCTAATGTCATGCTACAAGTACTCTGTTTTTCTGTAAGCTTTTTTGAGTATTTCTTTGTGTGCACTGATGCAATAGCCCTGCTGCTTATTTTCTCCATGCTTTTTTTTTTTTTTCCTTGTCTTGCTAGTAGATTTTTAGTATCAAGGGTTAAAATGTCACCAATGTTTTTACTGTTACTTCAGGGAGTGTTACTGTGGTTGGTATATTTTGGACATTTGGTCTTACCTTTAAACAAAGCCAAACCTGAGTGAAGTGTAAGGAACTCCTTTCTTGGTTTGGTCTTTCTAGTAGCCACTTATGTTTTTTATTAAGAATTCATCTGATTTTTTTTTTTTTCCTATTCGGTTTAGAACTGAAACATCAGCTTCCTATTTTTTAACTTTTAAAGATTACCCCACACCCCCAATTAGAAGTCTTCATGTCTATTCCTCTATATGGGATGCTTTAAGATAACATAAACTGCCATTAATTTATCTTTGACTTGGAACTAAATAAATTGTATTTAAATGTCTCAGAGTTTTGTATGTTTTACAATGTTCAAATCTTGTTTGTAGCTGTTTGAAGTGATACAGGAAACTGTCTTTCGTAAATGTTTGGTTGCTAGGCTTTGTTCAAGTGCTTAAAATCAAATTGATCATGAGAGTGCTTCAGAGGAATTCTTATACAATAACAGCATATAAATTGCTTGTTGGGATCATGAAGTCTAATTTTGCCAATAATTAGTTCCCCACTGTTGCATATGACTCGGCCTTTGTGGTGGTCTGTTGCATATATAGCAGCTTAGGTTTTTTCCTGTATTAGAACACTGTAGCCTAATTACTAGGCTTATTATAGGCTCAGCAATGAAATGTTACAGATGTTCTGTGAGATATGGAAGATCAACATATATAATATAACTATCTCTTCAGGCCTTCATATTTATGAAACTGTTCTGCAATAAATGGATCCAGCAACTCTCTTAAGCCTGCCAAGATTGCTGATACATTATTTCCTGAGTGTCATTTCTTTAGATCTATTAATTTACAATAATTTTTAGCATCTGAGGAAGCCAAAGTGAGGAATTTATGTCTGTTGTAAAATCTGATGGTTTTCACAGCTTGCCCATTTAAACTATGGCCTTCTGCTTTGGTGTTTGAAGGTAAGAATGACAGTATAAATGTGTCTTAAACTTTGTGTAAAGGCAGTAAAACAAAGTATGAAAAATCACAGCTATGTGTCTTTTGAAATGTTTTTGATGATGGTACACATATAAAGGAAATGACCCATTACTGTACCCTATGCAATATGGACCTTTTTATGTATGAGGTTATTACATAGGTAATAGCTCTTTGCCCTCCTGATATCAAATGCTTGTATCTATGCATAAAACTTGGTTTCCTGTACCTTTCACAGATTTAATGAAAAGGTCAAAATTCCTTTTATATAGCGTGACTTTATATTCTGTACTGGTAATCAGAACAGGATTTTTTAATGAAAAGCGGGTTTCACCGTGTTTAATTTTTTATTTTCTCCAGTATGACCATTTCTGTTGTTACTCCTGATCACTGATTTTAAAAATTATTTTTATTTCATGTCTTTTCCAATAGACGTTGTAATGTAGGAACTCCTTAACATCACTTTAAGAAGAAAATAAATTTCATCAAAATAAAGGGGGGGGTTATCCCATATTCACTTCACTATGAAAGTGTACAATGATTATTTAAAAAAACCTTCTGTTTTTTGTTTTTAAAATATATCCTTAAAATGACCTTTGTGCCTTGCTGCTATACTTGTTTTTGTTACTCTGTAATCTGGTAGAGGCTCAAAGCACAGTATAACTTTGGTAAAAC